ACGTCGACGGGGAACATAGTCGGGATTTTCAAGATCCTCGAGCGAACGCGACGTATCTCGCTTCGATCCGTTCTCGATCTCGTTCGCGGCACACAAAAACCCCGAGACGCAATTTTTTTCCCCCCGTATTTTTCCTCCAAGTACGTAATCCAAACTCGAGTAAAGTCGCCGCAACGACGTTATCGTGGCTTCGACGCGTCGTAAAACGCCACGTACACGAGCAATCGCGACAATCGTAGGAACAAGAAGAAAAAAGCTCCGCGCGTTGTCCGGATTCTCGAATCCCGCGCGAACGGCGCGAGGAGATTCGCGCCTTCCTACAGCAATCACCTTGAGCGAGGATTGGTAATCTGATTATTTGATCAGGATAACGTATACAGAGATACGTACGTCGGTTTAATTCCCCGACGAGGCGCAGCCGTGTGGATACGTCACGTGTTACTAATCCCGACGTAGTGACGTTTCCACCGTCTATTAAATGGGTTTTGTGCGTGTCAATTGGACCGCGGCACGGCTATATTCGCGTGCTGCCCGCGTTTAGAGACGCTACGATGCGCACGAGCTCCTATTGTGTGCCATTTTCCCCGCCGTCTTCGCGGCAACCCCCACGCCGCCGGGGGAGGGAAGAAACAAGTTCCCGCAATAGAACGTCGCGACGCGACGCGACGCGCGGCGACGCCCGCGCCGCGCTGTATCGTGCGTAAAAACGAAAGCAAGGATGACTGGCACTCTAAACCCCTGCTTGGCGCCCGTCTGCCTCGATTTTCACTTTTTCTCCTCATTCCTCCCCCCCCCCTCTTCCCCTGCTCAACCCGCCTGAGCCTGCTACGAGCGGGATCGTAAATATTACCCGGCCATTCGTATTAATCACGACTGATTAATCGATGGGCAATCTCCGAGAGTTACCGCTGCGATTCTTGCCACGAGAGAGAAAAAAAGAATGAGAGTCATGCACTGTTATACGCGTACATACGTGTGTGTTACGGACAGGCGGTGAATTGAAGATGCAAAATCGTGGCGCATTCATTAATAAAAAGGTAATCCGAATCATCAACCCTATGCACGCCGAGCATTTAATGTCGCTCCAATTAAGATTGCCTTTGCTGGATTTAACAGCGTTTAAAGAGCCGGGGAATTGAAAGCCGGGTGGGCGCGTTTCCTGCAGCGCACGTTCAAGCGGCACATACGGAGTGACCCAGATTTACCGCCGTGTGTTCCTTCGGCCATAAATTTTTTGATGAATTTGAAATCGATTTCTCCGTCGGCGGAGATTTAATGGGCGATTATGATCTGTACAATCTTGACAGTTAAACTCGGATAAATTGGATATCCGTTGACGCGTAGTTCGTTTGAAAAAAAAACTTCGAACAAGAACTGACGATCCCTTCCGTCGCGAAAATTGTTTAATCGTTCGCGTTGATTGACTCCACAAACGAAAATTGTTTCGTAAAATTTTTACCGAAAACGGGAAAATCGGGTACCAAAGTATTTGTTGTATTTTGTACCCTATGAAAATAAATAAATACACACACATATATATATATTTTTTTTTTATACGTAGGAGAGGGTTTCTCGCCACACATCGTCGTCGTTGGGAAAATAATCAAAATTGATGGCAGACGTATCACGTGCTCGGAACGTCGGCGCTCATGTGGGTCGCGTAATAAATTCTGTCGTTCGCTTTCATTTCGGTAACTGAGTGATTTTACACGCGCGTTGCAATTTCGTTTTCTCGATTGAGAAATGTGTGGCATTAGTCAAGCCGGGAGATATCACGCATCTCCTTCCCTTTGCGGGAAAGGAAGTTTAATAAACGCGCGTGTCCGCGCGCTTAATTTATACGTGCGCGATAAAGAGCGCAAATGAACGCGATTGACGTCTCGGTTATCCGTTAAACAAAATTGCACGCGTGGAAACAATAAAAATTTACCTTATTCGAGACTACCGGAAGTAAAATCAGTGGTAACGAGAGTGGAGCAATAGGTGTATAAGCATAAAATAACTAACAACGCAGAGTGTAATAATGATCGACGTCTGTCTTGTTTGGCTTTACGTAAACAACCTATTTTCTACTGTGACAAACGCAATTAAACTTTTCAGCCATCTTAGCGTGCGCGTTCCAACTTCGAATTAGTGCTCGCAGCCGTTTGGGGTAACTCGAATTTGTTTACTGCGCAATAATTAGAGGAGGAGTCGGAAACCCGGGAAAGATGGCAAGCGACGAATTAACTTTCTGTAAGTTGGCAAATCACTGGGATAGCAAAATTAGCAAAGAGAAATGCCTTTGTTTCACATTCCGCTGTCGTTGACGATCACAATGTGGAGAATTGTGATCATTGAAAAATGAAAGGTGTATCATGATTCGTAAATATCGCATTACTTTCGAGATCAAACTTTCCTCTCGCCGCAAATTTAATAAGAATTATTTAATTTAAGAATTAAAGTAGATTTGCAGTAAAATAATAATTATATTCCTCGTTAAGATAATAAGATCTTTGAAGTTTCCTCCGCTGTTCGCTGAATGAAGACTGAGAAGGTATAGAACTTACGTCGACAACACGCGCGCGCCGTTTTCACTCCAGGTTGTTTTAAAGGATTTGCCATATCTTTATTTATCCAATTTCTCTTATATCAAACAGCAGAGATTTCCGACAGAATAACAATAAATACTTCAGACTTAATGCGCATCCGGAGGATTGCGATTTAAACGTGGCGTAACTTGCTAGGTTGAGTTACACTAATGCCCGCTGGATTATTCTAATGGATTATGTAACTTGAGCAAAGTTTAACTCCTATGTTCTTTCTGAGCGATTAAATCTTTATGGACACTTGTACTCTTCGTTCTCTTCCTTTAGGTACACACTGTATTCAAAACCTTTCCCGCTTAATAACTTTTACGAGTTGCCTTTGTCTCGAAATGTTATTCTTTATCATTATAAAACGGCCCGCCTCATTTGTTGTCTTGGCGCGCAATGAATGTAAATGGAAATCCCTTTTTCTGTCCGCGCGGTGATATTTATTCCATATATTTGTTCAACACGCGTAACTTCTTTTTTTTTTCTTTCTTCCCTTCCGTCAATAGACTGGTAGCGAGCAGCAGCAGCGAGACCAGCACGTAAACCTGTAGTTTACATCCCGCATCCGCTGCTCGTGTCGCAATATAAATTTTACCTTGTACCGCCCACGTGCTCTGTGCCGTATCGTTTGAAGAACTCGTAGAAGGACAAAAAAAAGCGTCGCTTCGCGTTGCTCGCGGCGAGAAGGACGGGAAAAGGAGCAACAATAATTGAATTTAGTCGTCGAAGCATTGGGCTCGCATCTCGCGTTTACTTCTCC